TTGTCCCATTAACTGCTGAAGAAGAGATGGCAAAGAAAAGCAGAGTTAGGGCCCTTCTGACCGCAACAATCAGGGCCGAAGTACCACCAACTATTGAGGCGCAGCCTGCCGTTGTGGCCCTCCCTTCTCAGCAGCCCTCTTCATCTCGCCCTTCTAAACGCGCCGGATCTGCATCGACCAAACATCAACTTGTTGATGAGGTTGAATCCATCCCCCAAAGTCCTCAACCTATCCTCCAATCGGAACAAACCGACCAAGCTGAATCTTCCCATTGGGCTCCGAAGCTAACCTTCAACGACCGAGACATCAAGGCTTCTGATTCGGTTGTTGCTGAAAAAGATCATCTATTGGCTTTTAATCTGGCCAAGAGTGTGTGCCTCCTAAAAGATATGGAGCACCACTTAAAGCAATTGAACACCGAAATGAAGTCAATTCGGTCTACATCCAAGTCCTTGATTTTGGTAAGTAACTCTGTCCGCTTCTTCTGCCTAAATTTTCCAACTTGTACTTCGGCTCAAAGGAAATCTTTGTTTTTCCAAGCCTTACAAAAGAACAATATTACTTACAAGAAAGTCCAAGAACTAAGAAAAACCACAAGGCAAGCAATGGCGGAAGCCGAGGCAAAGGCGGCCGAACTAGAGGAGGCCGAAAAGAAAATGACCGAGCTACAAGCAGAGAACGGTCGACTTGCCGATCTGGTTAGCTCGGCTGAAGCGGAGAGGCAGAAAGCGGCCATCGCTATGAAAGACAAATATTTGCGCGAGCTGGTAAAGCTTGAAAAGAGAAAGGATACCGAAATAAGCCAACTAAAAGAGAGCGTGGAGGGAGCTGAAAAGCAGGGTTACAAGCAGGGTTACAAGAAGGCAGAAGACGCCTATGTCAAACAGTGCGACGCTGCCAATGAGCTGTTCTTCAAGTGTGGCTGGAGGGCGCCTGTTGAGAAGCTCGGTCATGATCAACAGACCGAGGTCTTCAACCCTCCAGACTACTTTATACCGAAGTCCCTTGCGGAGTATGCCGATACCCTGCAACAAGAGTTTCTGGAAGACTCAGATTCTGATGACTCCTCTGCTTCCGAAGATATTCCGGTTGTTAGTGCAGACCCATCACTTCGGTTGGAGCCCATGGTAGAGGACCCACCTATTGAACAACCAAGTGACACCGTGGTTCCAACCGAAACCAACCCGGCGACCGAGCGTGATCTTCCCCTTGAAACCGGTTTTCAAGTTAATGGTGATGCGGCCTTTGACGCCGAAATACAAGAACTCTTTTCTTGACTTTGTACTTTTTCTTTTTCTTATTTCGTCTTTGTAACCGGGCTTCGGTCCTTGCTTTGTACTTATTTTGATCTTTAATGAAATGGAAATTTGCTTGAACTCTAACTTCGATTTTGATATGTATGTCTGTACTTTGCAATGTCTTTTATTACTCCAACTTATATTTCGGTTTTGGCTTTTTAAACTATGCTTACCAGCCAACCACTCCTTAGCCGATATAATCACTTCGGCTGAGGAGTACAAAGTGTTTAATCCAGTCAATCCAATTTAAGCCATACCCTTACTTAGGCTGAAGAGTATCAAGAGTTGGTTTATTCCAGCCAACCACTCTTCAACCATATACTTCGGCTGAAGAGTAACAAGTGTTGAGAAAGAAGTTGGTCAAAGCTTCTAAATTTTGAGCCGACCTACCGGTATAGCGGTCGCCGCAAAGCAAAGGTAACTGATTTTCTTCTCGAGGAAGCACCGGAGCCGGACCCAACTCTGCCCGAGATAAGACTTGTCCCTCTAACAGCAGAAGAAGAGATGGCGAAAAGGAGCAGAGTTAGGGCCCTCCTGACCGCAACAACTAGGGCCGAAGTAACACCGACTACTGAGGTTCAGCCCGCCGTCGTAGCCCTTCCTTCACAACGGCCTTCTTCATCGCGCCCTTCAAAACGCGCCCGATCTGCGTCAGCCGAACAGCAACTTGTTGACGAAGTCGAATCCGTCCCCCAAAGTCCTCGTCCTGCTTCCCAACCAGAGCAAACTGACCGAGCTCGTTCTCCGAAGTGGGCTCCGCCTTTGATCTTCAATGACCGAAACATCAAAGCCACTGATTCGGTCGTGGCTGAAAAAGACCACCAACTGGCCTTTAACCTGGCCAAAAGTGTGTGCCTCCCCAAGGACATGGAGCACCACTTGAAGCAACTAAACACCGAAATGAAATCAATTCGGTCTGCTTCCAAGTCCATGATCTTGGTAAGTAGCTCTGTCTGCTTTATCCTCCCGTATTTTCCAACTTTTACTTCGGCTGACA